CCCTCCTGTGGATCTGCCCCGGGAATTCCTGGCCCGAGGAACAACCTCCTGTGGATCTGCTCCAGGAATTCCTGGTCTGAGGAACACCCTCCTGTGGATCTGCCCCGGGAATTCCTGGCCCGAGGAACAACCTCCTGTGGATCTGCTCCAGGAATTCCTGGTCTGAGGAACACCCTCCTGTGGATCTGCCCCGGGAATTCCTGGCCCGAGGAACAACCTCCTGTGGATCTGCCCTGGGAATTCCTGGTCTGAGGAACACCCTCCTGTGGGTCTGCCCCGGGAATTCCTGGCCCCAGGAACACCCTCCTGTGGGTCTGCCCCGGGAATTCCTAGCCCGAGGAACACCCTCTGGCAGATCCATCCCGGGAATTCCTGGCCCGAGGAACACCCTCCTGCGGATCCATCCCGGAATTCCCAGCCCATGGGACACTCCTACCCCGTTACCTGTCGGCCACATCCATGTCCCCCTCGATCTTGTTGAGCCCTTTCATGATGTTGTCAAACTGCTCCCCCTGGTAGTGCAGCACCTTGGCCGTGTCCTCCAGGCGTTTCTGGGATCCCGCCAACATTCCCGTCAGTTCCTTGCCCTTCCCGGGCCGCGCGGCCGCTCCTTCCGCTCCCGCCCCTCGGCTCTCCAGCAGCTGCTCCCTCCAGAAGTGCTCCAGGACGTTGAACACCACATTCCTGTTGGGCTGCAGGGAGCTGAACCAGTGCTTGGTGTTCTTCTCCAGGATGGTGAGGGAGCTGAAGATGAGGTTGGAAGATTCCTTCTTGATCTCGCTGATCCCGGAAAGGTGGAAGTCGACCAAGAGCTCCCCGGTTTTGTCAGCTGTGAATTTGATGCCGACGGGAGTCAGGGAGAGTTTCCCAGAGATCCATTGCTTCCCGGTGTCCAGGTAGTAGGAGCAAGGCCAGCTGTGGATACGGATGTCCTCGTTCATCAGCTCGTCGGGCTGAGCCTCCTCTCCAAGGGCAACGCTCTCAAAGCCGGGAGAAACTAAAGGAATAAAAAAAAAGAGCGGGAATCTTTAGGAACGTTAATCCCATCCACAGTTGGCTTCCAGTACTCTCACATTCCAGGTGGAGATGTGAGATAGGTTTGGGAACAGCTGTGGATGGATGTGGATGAGTTTTGAGTCTCCTGAGAGCTCCAAAGCTTTACCCAGAGCTCGGCTCCTAAAGGTGCCCGAGGGAAAATTTTCCAGGCAAAAATCTCTTTGGGAATTCAATCCATCCATTGTTCCATAATCATTTCCAACCACCTCAACATTTCCTTTGGAAAGGACTGTCAACAGCATTGGCCACCCCATTCCCAGCAGCACAAACTTCCAGTATTTATTGCCTTAATGTCCTGGAATATTCCCATTCCCACTCCATCCTCAGAAGCAGCTTCCCACAGACCAACAGGTCCTGGAGAAAAACCCAGGATATCCCAAAACACATCCCATTAATCTACAGTGACCACACTGAAGAACTGCTCCTTCCTTTTCCACTCTGATATCCCAACATCCAGGTGTGTTGGGAACATTCCAGAATATCCATGGACTCTCAGGATGATTTGGGATGGAAGGGATCTTAAAGACCTTCTAATCCAACCCCCAGGGACATTTTTGAGCAGAATTCCCAAGGATTAAAGAGCAGAAACTCCCAGCCATAAATGGATCCATATTCTTCAGGAATTGTCACTATCTCTTGGATATTACTTTGGAATAAGAACTTGGAAAAATTATCTTCCTTACAAATTCAAGGGGAGCCAAACTTGTGGTGAAACAACCAGCCAAAATAACTCCCCAATCCCTAGTTTTTGTCCTGGGAAATAATCACAGCACTTCTGGACGGGTCACGTTTTCCTGGGAGCACGGGATGCTCTGGGCTGACACGTGAATCCCGCAGGGATTGCTCAGCGGGATCCGGAATCGCGGGAGCAAAACAAAGAGCTGTCACTTCCTTCTATCCCAACAACCCAAAACCTTTGGAATGGGAGATTAAACACGACACACTTGGAGTGCCTTCTGTCCACGCTTCCAGAGGTTTCTTGTTCCCGAGGGTCGGATTCTTCCCCGGAACATCTCAATTCCTCGTGACAGTTTGACATCCCACAATTAATTTGGGAACACCCATCGCGTCACGGGGATTTAATCACTCACCAGCTCGTTATCTCCTCGGATGGATCACGGGATAATTTAGGGATTAATCCCAGAACACGAGCTCCGGGTGTTTGTAGGGAGCAGCTGGAAGTTGGATCCCTAAATCCCCACTTAGGCTGAGACTAATTCCACCTCTGAATTCCACACAAGGAACTCTCCGGGAATCCTGAAGCCAACAAAACAGCCAAGTCCTTTTCCAGGGATCCTTGGGGGAATTCCCACAGCACCCACTGAGATCTCCCAGCTCGGGCATCATTAATATCCCTTAAAAACTCCACTTCCAATGATATTTTGAATTAAATACTCCAAATTCCATATTCCCAAGAAAAGGACTAATCACATTCAGTCATATCCCACAAAACCCCTGGAATTTGGGTTCCAAACCTTATTTTCATTATTAATTGTAGAGATGAAATGGGAAAAAAAAATTAAAAAAAGGCCAGAAATTTACCAAGAAATTGGAGTTTAAAGTGAAAATTCCCAATAAATCCACACAGTCCTGGATTTTTATATATAATAAACCCTCTGTACTGGATTTATATATATATGTAAAAATATATAAATATATATATAATATATATTTTTATTATATATAATATATATAATACATATGATATATTATATAATGATTATATATAATATATACTGTATATATAATATAATTATATATTATATATTATTTATATTTTTATATACAAAAATTTATATATATATTTATATATGTATAAATAATTCTATATCATATAATTATTTTATTATATATAATGTAATATGTATTATATATAATATAATAATTATATATGATATAAAATTATTTATACATATATAAATATATTATAATATAGAATATATTATATTTATATATTATAATATATAAATATATAATAATATATAAATATATAATAATATATAAATAT